AAAACCTAAAGTAAAATTATAATGGAGATATCCCAAATAACTGGGGCACATGAAAGCATTTGGAGCTAGAAACTTTCATTTCATACCCAGCAGACCAGGAAAAGCAATTAATTATTTGAAGAACGCACAAATGAATATTATTATTCTAACCATGGTCAATATGAATATGAATATGAATAATGAAGCAATTATTAGAATCAACCCCAACAACCCTCCAACCCATTCAAGTTTTGAATCCAGAAGTTAAATGCAGCTTTCTCTTATTACAAAACTGACATAAACCATACGCACAAGAAACAAAGAAAAATTCTTGAGTGGAAAAAAAGAAGAAGGAAGAAATAGGTCACCTCACATCTCTCCATATACTGCTATACAAAAATTTGGGAACAACCAGGGTTGAATTGAGTAATCGTGCAACAGTGACAGCATTGCAAACCTGTAGCCAAATAAAATACTATTAGGTAAAGAAATAGAACTCACATCAAAATAAGGCCCCATAGAACCACATTCTATGTTTATGTTTCCTAAGTTATGACTCGGTGCAAGTTCATAGAATTTGCACACAAGTAATCCTAAAAACAGCTGTGAGTGCCTCAAGCATCACTTACAGCTACTCGCTGCTGGTTCATTCCACCGTTTGCAGTGACCAAAATGTATCCATTCTTTCCCTCTATAACGTACCACAGAAAATGAATGTTAGAGCCAGCTTAATCCATTAGTTTTGCAATCTTTAAAATGCATAGATAAGGACTTGCATGAAATATGTGCTTCCATCCACACTTACATGAGAGAGGGAGAGAGAGAGAGAGAGAGAGAGAGAGAGAGAGAGAGAGAGAGGTGGGGTTTGTAAATTAGTATGACTTTGGTCCTGTTCAATCCCCATGTTTGCAGAAGTTGGAAATGGTTGGTTTGATTTGAATTAATAAAGACCTGCATCAGTGGTCCTGTTACAATGAAAAGCTCCATTTCTCTTTTAAATCTAAGAAAGTGGTTATTATATCACTCGTGGGCAATCAATCTATTCAACTTCAAGCAATCGCCTTGCTATAATATCACCTGCTGTCGACGCAATGACTTTGAGTATGGATTAAAATTTAATCATCCTCCTTTAAGTTTTAACTCAATCATTATTGTCCGAATTCAATCATTCTTTTTTGTTTGTCTCCCATGGATTTAAATCTAAAAATAAAATAATAACTCTCATATTAGTCAAAGTGAACAGTAGTTAGTGTTTTGCTTTGTCTTTAACAGTGGTCAGTTTTTTGCTTTTGTCTTTAACAGTGGTCAGTTTTCTTACGTTTGAAGTTGGTTCTGTCTCTTTTTTTGTCCCAAAGTGTAATTTAGTAAATTTATTATGCTCGAAAGGTTAAAAAGTTGGAGTAGCTATAATCAATCATTGTTGAACTAAAGAATACAAACTAACCCTTCACGTTGACGTCATAATCTCTGATTTTGACACTTTTTTTAATCATGATTATTATGATTTTAATATTAAGACTTCCAACCCAAAATGAGTTCGAAATAAAGAATTAAAGAATTAACATAATTTTTGGAGATGTAAGACCGAAGGCTACATAGAGCTCTTACGAGAACTTGGTTGAGACAACTTCAATATTACTTGATACTTTAATTTTTCTACTACAACTCACCCTTGATATAAAGTAGATACAATGCCTATTTATAGGCCATATAATTAACTCAACATTAAACTTAATCACAATCATCATACCCACTCAACTTGCATTAACTGTAATTCATAAACTAGGTAATAATAACTAAACCATTTATATTCGAACTCTTTATTTCTTAAACTTTTAACATTTGAAATAATCCCAACAGTCTCTCATGTAATTTCAAAGATGAATAAAGTAATTGCTTTCCCCTTACTCTTCTTCAATGTCACAATGTTCACAACGTTTTCTTAGACATCGCCTTGCTCCATTATAATTTATCAAATATTGTGTCTTCTTGTGCCATCATCAGACATTCCTTGTTATAGAAATATTTCATTTAATCTTCTTCATCTTGACCAGAATTTTTCATTTCTTTCTTCGTCTTGTCGTCTCTTCATTTCTCCATCTTTCTATCTCATTGTCATCGCGATGCTTCAATTCTCAATCCTTGATTGCCTTCACGCCACTCAATCCTTTGACCCAACGAGGGCTGCATTGCTCAACTGATCAACTTTTTCGAATTCTTTTATCATTCATAGAGTCAAATCGCTCCATTTTTATTTACTTTTCTTTTTCCTTCATGGAGCCAGATCCCTCCATCTTTCATGTTTCTTCAATTTGGTGCACATCTGTCCCGATTTTCAATTTTGGGAACCCTTTTCCCAATTCTTCATATGCCTTTTCTTTCTTCGGTCGGCATCATTGTCCTTAATTTATTCGGCATCCTTGTGCGTTCCTCTCTCAAGAATTCATCCACCCATCGCAAAAAAGAAAAAAAGAAAAAGCATTATTCTTGCATGCTTTCAGTAAACACGTCTCACGAATTCGAAAACATATATTCCTCTTACTTGCAACACACACAATAATCCCCTTTTTTACAAATTTACCGACAAAGTCATACTTCAAGTGGCATCATTGTGCCATCACTTCTAGGGCTCAATTTCCCATCATTCATCTATATTTTTTCAGCATCAATGTGTCATTCTCTCATTGGCATCTTTGTGCCCTTTCTTCGGCATCTTTTTCTTTTCTTCTTCTTTTATCATTCATGGAGCCCAATTGCTCCATCTTTGTTTTTCATGGAGCCAAATCGCTCCATCTTCCATGCTTCATCAATTTGGGTGCATATCTGCCCCAATTTTCAATTTTGGGAACCCTTGTCCCAATTATTTGTAGGCCTTTTCTTTCTTCCATATCATTGTGCCCTTCTTAATTCATTCGGCATCCTTGTGCCTTCCTCTCTCAAGGGTTCATCTACCCATTGCAAGAAAAAAAAAATTGTTCTTCCGTACTTTCAAATATGAAGTACGAACATGGATACAAGTATGGCAATATGATACAACACGACACGAGGATACGGTTATTAAAAATATATATTAATAAAAATATATATAACTTGAAACAAATTTTAAATAAAAAAAATTGAAAATTATAAATATAGTGTAGCATTTTGGGCTTTCTTTTCTGATTCTTTATATATTTTAAGACATGTATAGCTTTTTTCACCCAAACGTATCATCACCCAAAGCCCATTTTAATACTATTGCTTAAGACCCGCACCCATAACAGATCCATGTAAAAAAAAAAAAAAAACTACAAATCCTGTTTTAGCGCACAAATTCATGCTTTCTAAATACTGGCTCTCTTATTTTCAATTGAATAATGTTATGCATATTCCATTTATGGAGTGTTTACTAATCAAGAATTGAATTTCACTTATGGAGGATTCCTGCGTTTTTTTTTTGGTCAAGGTAATTCATTTCATAAAAATGAAAGGGATTACACAATCAAAAAAGGAAAAATAAAAACCAGCCCAACACTGATAGATACAAGGCCTCAGCCCAACATAAATAAAAAAACCACATAAAAGAAAACCCTAAACAAACATCTAGCCCAATACAAACACAAAGGAAGAACCCTAAATATGAGAAGCTACTACCGCCACTCTCCTCATGCCGCGCCGCCGTCGCAAATCCACAACCACCAGAGATGAGTAACCAGTAACCAGACAAACCAATGCTTAGAACGGAGAATGGTGGTGGACAAACCACCCACACAAAGAGAGCTACCATAATCCTAGAAGCTAGTGCAAAGAGCACTTTTGAAGCCTCCTCAACCATGGAGCCGAGGAGTAGTGGCTGGTGGTTGAGATCTTGGGTCGGGACACAGCCGGAGGGAATGTGTGGAGGACACCATAACAGAGAAGGGGCAAGGGATGTAGAGGTGAGAAGTGTAGACTGGAGAACAACATTTATGGATGGGGAAGACAGAGGGTTTTCCAAATTTGGGTAAAATTTTGGGAGATTTAAGATGAGGGTGAACATGGAGAGATAAAGAAAGTCAAACATGGGGGAGATCAGAGGGATGGGAAGGAGTTGGAGAGAAGATACAGAGAGGTAATGAGCAAAAACAAGCAAAAAGAAAAATAACATAAACTCTCACAGAGGAGAGGAGGAACTCTCACAGAGGAGAGACACACAAAATTAGGAATTGAATTCTTGATTTTGGAGGAATTCAATTCTTTGGTGGGAGGTGGTATTCTAATTCCTGGAGAACTAACCCATTAGGAATTCATCTTTTTTACCCATTATACCCTCACATTTTTTAAAATTCCAAATTTGCCAATTACTTTAACCCAATAACAAGGACATTTTAGTAATTAGCACCACTCCTACCCCAATTCCATATGATTTAGTAAACAACTTCATAGGAATCCAGAATCTAACTCTCCTCAATCCATATGGTTTAGTAAATAACTTCAATAGGAATCTGGAATCTAATTCTCCTCAATCCAACTCCTCCTCAATTCAATTTCCTCATAATCCAATTACGGATTAGTAAACATGCAATTAGAGCACTTCCTCTTCTCATATCTCATGGCAACCCAAGGGCGACCACTATTTACATGAGATATGAGGAGAGGATTTTTTTATGGATTTTGGTGTGGGAAGTGAAGAACATGGCTAGGTATTTATATAAAAAAATTTATGAATTTGTTGGCATGTTTTCCTTTTTTTTCAATTTTTTTGGTATTTAAATTGGTCGTTGATGTCACGTCTTGCCCACGCAGCAGTCCAGGCAAGTCTTGCCTTTGGGCTTGCCCAATTTCATTAGCCCACTTCTTGCCATGACAATTTTTCCTCGATGGAGGTTGTTTTGGAGCCGAGTGTCACTGGATGACTTTTTCGGAGTTTTCCTTCTGTGCGGCCTTAGACTTGATCGCCTCTCGAACAAGCTAAGTCAGCCTTCCTTCCTACAAAATAAGATCGAACCAAGCAAGAACACAAAAGCAAGAGCAAGAACGATAAGAACGCACAAGAGAGTTTGGGAGAATAAGTTGTGAGGTGAGGATGCATAATGAGACATCCTCCTTATATAGTGATCCTATCCTACCTACCACCACAATAGAGGGTTAGGATCGACTGCTACCTAACCATCTGGAATCTACCTACTACTGTACATTGAATCTAGACATGTGGGCTAAGAGATGTAGAATGATCCATTCAACGGGCTGGGCCTTGAGCTTCTCTTGTAGGGCTTGACCTTCACAAATGGATCCTCTAGGTTGGCTACATAGTTGTTAGGTTGAGCCTTCAACATGCGGGCCATGACATTCTCCCTCACCTAATCCGGTGACGTGACGTCCTCGTCACCGAGGTAGTTCCTTCTTGTTCGAATGCTTCGATCTTGTCCTTGTATTGCCACAAGGACTCTTCTTTCTCCCAATTACCTTCGGACTCTGGCAGACCCTTCCATTTGACAAAGTACTCAAAGTACCTTGGTACACCTTTGCTTTGCACCTCACGCTTGTCCATGATGCACTCGACCTCCCTATCAAATGAAGTCACCATTAAAGGTAGAGCTTGTTGAGACTCCCCACGACTTGGCTCCTCGAGGTCAGGATGGTAGGGCTTGAGGTTGCTCACGTGAAACACTGGATGAATCTTCAATCGTGGCGGTAGTTCCACATGGTAAGCAGCTCTTCCCACGGTTCAGAGGATAGGAAATGGGCCTTCATATCTCCTTAGCAACGCCTTGTGTACCTTTCTAGTGGACTTGTGTTGAGAGGGATTGAGCTTCACAAAGACCGTATCACCTGGTTGGAACATGACATCTCGTCGATGCTTGTCTGCCCATTTCTTCATCTTCCGAGTTGCTTTCTCCAATTGAGCTCGAGCTAGCTCATTAGTCACCTGCCAATCCTTGGCCGTCTTGTATGTAGCAGGGCTACTCCCCGTGTAGCCTGACCCCACTGTGTTCGGTGTCATAAGTTGTTGTCTAGTTACCAACTCAAAAGGACTTGACCCTGTCGACTCCAATCGCTGCAAGTTGTACGAGAATTGAGCAACATCCAACAACTTTGCCCAATCTCATTAGTTGGCACTCACATAGTACCTCAAGTATAACTCCAACAATGCATTCACCCGTTCCATCTGACCATATGTCTATGGGTGAAAGCTGGTAGAGCAGTTCAGTTGTGAGCCAAGTAGCCTGAAGAGCTCCGTCCAAAGTTTACCAGTGATGCAAGTGTCACGGTCACTGATAATACTCTTGGGGTTCCCCAATACTTCACCACATGCTTTAGAAACAAGCGTGCAGCTTCTTTCACGTTGCAATCTGCCGGTGTGGGGATGAAGGTAGCATACTTGGTGAACCTATCGACCACCACCAAAATTGAGCCACACCCTTCTGACTTGGATAGACTCACGATGAAGTCCATGGACAAACTCTCCCATGGTCTGGTTGGAACAAGAAGTGGCTCTAGCAACCCACCTAGCTGCTTCTGCAAGGTCTTGTCTTGGTGGCATACAAGGCAAGTCCGCACGAACGAGTCTACATCTTCCCGCATCTATAGCTAGTAGTAAGCTTCACTTATCAATACTAAAGTTCAATGAGTGCCCGGATGTTCCACCCACTTTGAGTCGTGACACTCCTTCAGTAGCTCTCACCTCAGATTGTCCCACCTTGGAACATAGATTCTTTTCCCTGTTGCATAGAGAACACCATCATCGAGCCAAAATCTTCTTGTCTTCCCATCCTAGACAAGCTCCAACAGACTTTTGGCTTGGGGATCATGCAACAAGCCCTCTCGTATCCTCTGCATGAGAGAACTTTGAGGTTGTACAACAACTACGAGTGCGGCCTTCCGGCTTAAGGCATCGGCAACGACATTCATCTTCCCTCGCTTGTACTCCAATTTGTAGTCAAACTCCGTCAAGAAGTCTTGCCACCTAGCCTGCTTGGGTGACAACTTTTGTTGGGACTGAAAGTAGCTTATGGAAACATTGTCAGTCTTGACCACGAACTGAGAACCAAGTTGGTAATGCCTCCAAGTCCGCAAGCAGTGCACTATGACTATCATCTCCTTCTCTTGAATGGTATACCTCCGTTCATTGTCATTAAGCTTCCTACTCTTGAAAGCCAATGGATGTCCATCCTGCATGAGTACACCACCAATAGAAAAATTTGATGCATTAGTGTGTACCTCAAAAGGTTTGTTAAGATCGGGTAGTCTCAGCACTAGTTCCTCCATAAGTGCCCTCTTCAACTCGTCAAAGGCATGTTGGCATAGTGGCGTCCACTGCCACGTCTTGTTCTTCTTTGGAAAATCCCTCAAGGAGGCGGCAATGGCTGAATATCCCTTAATGAACCTATGATAATAGTTGACCAATCCAAGGAAAGACCGCAGCTTAGGTATCTTGGTTGGTGGTTCCCACTCTTGAATGGCTCGCACCTTGCCCTCCTTCATGAGCAATTGTCCACCTCGTAACTTGTAATGAGCACTTCTCCTTCTTCACATATAGCTTGTTCTCCCTCAGAACTTGGAACACCTTCTGCAAGTGCTCGAGGTGCTCCTCTAGAGAATTGCTGTACACCACAATATCATCGATGTAAACCACAACACACTTGTCCAAGAAAGGATGGAATACCTTGTTCATGAGAGTGCATAAGGTTGCAGGGGCGTTAGTCAGGCCGAACGGCATGATAAGGAACTCATAAGACCCATATCTTGTCACACATGCGGTCTTCGGTTTGTCTCCCGGTGTGATCCTCACTTGATAGTATCCTGAGCGCAAGTCAAACTTGGTGAAGTACCTAGCTCCTCTCAACTAAACAAACAAATCTGCAATCAAAGGGATTGGATACTTGTTTTTTGTGGTCACCTTGTTTAGCGCTCGGTAGTCGATGCACAACCTCAGTGTTCCCTCCCTCTTCTTCTGGAAAAGAACTGGGGCACCATAAGGGGCTTTGGATGGTTGGATGTACCCAGCGTCCAACAACTGCTTCAATTGCTTCCTCAATTCCTCCAACTCAGGAGGTGTCATCCAGTACGGCGCTTTGGCAGGGGGCTAGGCACCCGGTTCCAACTCAATGGCATGATCAACCTCTCTCCTAGGTGGAAAGGTGTTGGGCAGCTCCTTGGGCATGACATCTGCAAACTCCTTAAGGACTGACTCCACAGCTTTTGGGACTGGTTGGACTTCCTTCTCAACTATATCCATCTTCATAGTTGCAAGGAACGCCAGCTCACCCTTTTTCCAAGACTTGGAAAATTGCATGGCTGACAAAAACTTTGACTTGCCTTGTTGCCTCACCACTGGCACCATGCATGGCATTGCTCCACCCTGTGCAATGCACATAGTATTGTAAAACAAAATCGGAAATGCCTTTACCTTGTCCATGAATTCCATTCCTAGCACGACATCGTAGTCATCCATTGAGATCACGGAGAAGTCAGCTACTCTCTTCCAGGTTGCAATGTGTAGCTTTACACTACGATCTACTCCATCAATTGGTTTGGCAGTTGAATTCACCGTCTTCATACTGCCTACTTCCTTTGAGACTCGACACCCAAGTCTCTTTACTTCTTGCACTGACATAAAGTTATGCGAGGCACCTATATCCACCAGACAACGGGTTGTCTTGCCATTCACCATGGCATCGACGAACATCACTCATTTAGCTTGAACCTACGGTTGAGTGACTTTGGCCTGTAGGGCATTGAAACGGTGAATGGCCCCTATTCTTGCTTCCCTGTCAGCCTCCTCTTCCTTCCTTTGGTTCATAGCATTCAAGGCTTTCTTCTGCGGACAATCCCGCATCATGTGCGCTCCATCGCACAAGTAGCAAGCTAGCTTCGACTTGTCCTTCCCCTTGTCACCTTTGTCATTCTTCTTCACGGATGACTTGTGTTGCGTCTACCCAAGTGCAAGTAGTCACACGTAGTAATAATCTTGGAAGTCCAAGTATCGTATCCTCAAGGAGCAGGTAGCCAAATGTCTGCACACAAAGAAATAATTAAAAGTACCAAAATAAAAGTGACAAGCAAAATGGACAAGTAATTTGATTTGATTGTTGTAGAGATTGAGTTTAAAAATGAAATATCAATAATGGAAATGCTAAGGCATCAAGGTTCAATTCTTTAAGCAAAATATGTTTCATGCTCTTTAATCCAAATTAAACTCGATTAAAATTATCATTGAGAAACTTTAACCGGAAGATAAAGAAATTAAAACCAATTTACTTTTTCAATGTTATCTTTTATTAATGATTGTTCATAAAATGGCGTTGCTTAATATCTAATCTTTTAATTTAAAAGCATGTTAAGTCAGTTCTTAACAGTGAGAAAAATATAATTGAACTCATGAAAAGATAGTAGCACTTAACATCAATCAAAATAAAAGGATATGAAAATATTGAACAACCAAAAATAAAAGAATTTAGCAATTCATACCGTATATTGGATTAAAGAACAATTCACAAACTTACTCAAAGGACATTCCCTTTAGCCTTAGCTAGAGTTCTAGCAACTCATTACAAAGGAAAACATAACTAAATTTTGAGTGAAATGGATAAAGAAGTCTGTCGTAGAGATCCCCTTGCCAAATAAGTTGATGAGTGATTTATAGTAGTCAATAAGGTGAGTGGGAAGTTAATACATTCATGGTGGATAATGAAGGGTTTAAGTGAGGGATTAATTGGATTAAACATGTGATGATGGTGGAGAGTTGGTGGAAAAGAAATAACGGTGAGGTAGTAGGCGTTAAATGGCTATGAATGACATGAAATAGGCTCCTTAGCTTCAACGGTTTTGTCTTCTCTTCTCCTTCTTTATAATCACAATAATCCCACAATCAATTCTTCAATAAAATCCGCCAGCAATTCTCTTCACACATGGCTTGAACTTGGACAAATGTATGTCTTCATCTTTTGGCTTTCCAACTTCCTACAAAAGATAAATTCACCTAATAAGTTCACCAAGTTAATATAGAAAATTCATAAATCCAGTTGGTGAGAATAAAATGTAACAACAAGTGAAATTATATTTATTAAGCCAAAATTATATCATAAAGTGTCCAAAATAATATTAAAAAGATGTAATTTGAGACTCTCATCAACTTGTGACTGTCAGACTTGTCTCCTGACTTGCTACCCTCTTTTGGCTTGTTGTCTCCCCCACTAGATCCATTGCCACCTTTCTTTCCTTTGAACTTGGAGTCGCTTTGATTATTCTTCTTGAACTCCACAAGAGACTCAGCTGCAGCAATTGCCTCTGACAAGGTTTGGACGTGTCTCCTTTGTAACTCCAGCTTGGCCCAATTTTGCAGGCCACTCATGAAGTTGAAGTACATGAGCTTGTCTTCATCTGTCATGCTAGGCACCTCGAACAATAGGTTGGTGAACGTGGCGACATAGTCCTTCACGCTCCCCGTTTGCTTTAGCCATCTCAGCTTCTCCTTTGCCTCATACTTGGCATTCTCTGGATAGAAATGCAACATAATATCTTTCTTAAACTCATCCTAAGTCTCAAGAAAATTGCTCGTGAAGCGAAGGGATCGAGAGGAAAGGGCAAACAGCTGGACCACAAATCCCTCATCAGTAGATGTCTATTTAAACCATGCCTCGGTAAGCTGATGATACCCTACATTTCTTCCTGCAAACTCAAGGAAAACCATCAAATAATCCAAAAATAAAACAATGGCATCCTCAGCTACCCCCATTGATGACCTCAACCTTGAGTTATCACTTGCACCACCGAATGTCCAGATAAGGGCTCCTCCAAACCCTGTCTTCCCAAATTCCTCTAATCACCATGGCTCGGCCTCAAACTTCTCTGAGGTAGTGCCGTGTAGAGTAGTACTGCCGGAAGGCATGACTGCTAGCAGACTCACACCGGCAGATCATCTGCATGTGGCGCAGAGGTCTGACAAAGTTGTAGTAGAGGAGTCCCACAATTTAACTGTGCTCCATCCGGTCTCAGCTACCAATTTGGGCATGCGATTACTGGCGAGGACGCGGGAGTGCACAACGCTGAGCGAGGAAGTGGTTGCCTTGAAAGCTCAGGTGGTAGACTTGCAGAAGCGGCTCTACAGTGCCAACCAGCATGTAGAAATGCTGCAAAAGAGAAATGAAGACCATGTAGAGCTGCTGCAGATTCTACAAGTAAGAGCAAATAGAAGCATGCCATGATGATGAGGATGAAGATGATGAAGATGTTGTTGTTTGATGGGCATATTTTATATTATATATTTAGCCACATTCTTAGTATTTTTTTGGTTGATATTTTGGAAGAATTTTGATACTTTGAATTATATTTCCAATATAGGACTTTCGACTTTCTCTGGAGCAAAACATAATCAAATGGACGAATTTTGGAGTAATTCCAGTTGGAGGATGTTTGTGAGTCACTTGGCTTGATCGTATCAAAATTTCAGACTTTTCTACCAAGCGGTTATTTTCTGGCGATAAAATAAAGGAGCAGTGTGCAGTGTTGGAAAGTGACGTTTTGGGCTTTTATGGCGTTTTTGGAGCCTGAGATGACCTCTGATGGATTTGTGGCCTTCTGGA